CAGCAGTCGCTGATCCTGGTCGCTGATCCGGACCCTCAGTCGCTGATCGGACGTTTATCCGAAGCTTGTTGATATGTAGCGCGCGCGCGATGTCATATCAGTTCGTGGATCAAATTTAGAGGAGCTGAGGAAGGTGCAATTCCAATGTAGTATACCTTCCTGGATTGCTTTGTTGCTTTGGTTTCCTTCAAACTAAGCGAGAGGGGGTGCGGGGGAAGGCGCAGCGCCTTCCCGCAACAAGTCTAGTGGCCTCGTTGGAAAAAAGCAAAAAGAGGACATATACTAGACATAAGACAACAACAAATAACAAAAACGGATTTACCTAAAATGACAAAATAAAAATGAAAGACAAGCCGCGCAAGAAAAAACATCAGAAGGAACAAGACACCTGGAGAAAAAGACGCGCCCACAAAAATAAGCCACCAGAAGAAATATTAGGACCGGAGACACAGGAGCGGGCAATTGGTGGTTGGTGGTTGGTGGTGGTTGGTTGGTGGTTGGTGGTTGGTGGCGGTTGGTGGTTGGTGGTTGGTGGTTGGAGAGCACCAAGTCCGCGCCTGCCACGCAAATGCCACCGCAGAGCGGCGGAGACCCAGACACGCCAGAGCGTCTTGCAGAGCACCAAGTCCCGTGCCTGCCACGAAAAAGCCAGAGCGGCGGAGACCCAGGACGCCAGGGCGTACATCCGACCCCTGGCAGAGCGGAGAAAGGCGCATGGAATCAAAACTGCGGTGCAGCGAGACGATGTGAATGTTCCCGCTTCTGGAGCCCATTGCGAAGGCCCTCCCCATCCTTTGAAGGCTTCAGGTGTTCCTATCACAGTCATTTTTTGGCAATGGTGTTCTGAACTCCTTCGCAATACTCCTTTCTTCTTCATGGCCTCCACGACTTCGCCGCTTTTCCCTTTGCCAGAAGACGGCTTCACTTGAAACGACCGCTTCACATCATAGTGATGGCCTAAAACTACTGGCATGGAGGTTGGGGTGGCCTTCCCAACGAAAAGCTTCTGTCAAAAAGCCCTTCTAAAGCACTGCGCTGTGTGTTTGTAAAGATCAAGGGCATCTTAGCGGGCGACGGCCCTGGATCAGAACAACTCGAAGTTTTGAGCAGTGGCCGGCGTTTTCCCCAATTAGTTGCAAGACTTGCTGAGCTTTGTGACTGCTTGACAAAACTTGGGCCATGCGGCCCTTACAGTAGGAATAACAAGGACATGAAGTACCTCTAGATAAGCTGCCTCAACTGAGGCGATACGCGGCGCTAGATGCCTACCGGTTGAAGCTTGTGGCTGATGGCTCTTTCGACGCCGTCGCAGAGTTCCTTGAGGCTTATGCATGGCACCTTCCTCACCCTCACTGGCCCCGATGTGTCGGACAAGTCCAAGAGAGGCCGTCAGTGTTGGTGACGTTTGCCGCCCATGCCCAAAACCTGCATTCCAAGCACGATGAACTCTAGGTCCGGCTGCTGAAGTGTCAAAAGGTGTTCCGGGGACCGGCTCAGGTCCGTCCTCGACCCAAGGAAATCGGTCTAGCTGGACCGCCATGGGCAGAGGAGTGGTGGGCTCAATGATTTCACACCCAGCCGTCACTTGGGAGTTGGAATCACGACCAGCTGACCCAGACGACCATCCTCCACCCAAACCCTGCCTCTCAACTGCCACTGTGGGCTGACGAAGACCCTAGCTCGACGCTCCAAGACCCTCGGCCTTTCAACCACCTCCTCAGCAGCTCTGGAAGAGTGCCAGAGAGGAGAGAAGCCAAGGGCAAGAGGAGTTGTGCAGCCAGATATCCAAAGCAAGTCTCGGCAATGGCAATGAACCAGGGCAAGAGATGCGGTGAGAGAGGTCGGAAAGAAGGGTCACGCTATCTAGCACCGAACTAAGTCTCTCAATCATGCCTTGAGGTGTAAAAAAGAGGTTGGCCGGGGTCAGACTTAATAGACAATTCCAACACTACAATGAGTACAACAAGATCAGCACCTGAAGCTGCCAGAAAGTCTGTGTCAGTTCTACAAAAAGGCCATACGTAGCCACACTACCACAAGCTTAGCCATGTTCACATACCTCTGCAAGTGCCAAATATCATGCGTCAAGATTCACTCTTTTCAAGCAAGTCACCGTTTTGCAAAGAGGTTCTTCTCGTGCGTCAGCTTCACGGCGTGAATGTAGGCGAAGGAAGCATCGTGTCCGAGCATCTCTGCATAAACTGCACGAATCATGTACTCCTCACCAAGTTGTCCCCAAACCCGAGTTACCCATTAAAGAACATGTTCGTTTACTCCGGGTCAATTCCTGTCCTTCATCTTCTTGGCCGAAATGTTGGGCGCACTGAGGTGCTGCTTCAGAATAGCAATTTCTCCAACAATGATCTTATCCTCCTCTTGCTTGGAGCGTGACTCGCCAATGCTCTTCACCAGCTCGAAAAACTCCTCCGACTTGGCACGCAAAAATAGACTCTGCAATATCCTCTGTTCACAGAGCCTTGCTCAAATGGCCGCCACTCATGATTTGCACCTCGGGCCCAGACATCAAAGCTCTTCAAACATCTTCAATCCAAGAAGCCGACACCCACCCCACCCTTCACTGACTTGCCTTCACCAGGAGCAGACATGGCACCAGTCCGGTTTGCAATATGTATCAGCTGAAACAGGGCAGCAGAGTCAGACAATTTTCTACTACTCGAGCGGGCAAGCCCTGGATTAGCGAAAGAGAAACTAGATCCCCTGCCGCACATTAACATAATTTCAAGAAAAGATTTTTGGTCAGTGCTGCCATTTGTTGCTGCAACAGCACACTGTTCTTTTTCGTACAGGTGGTCATTGAATTTAACATTCTGCTTGGCATGAATTCACCAACCTGCTCCACGGCAGGCATTTCCGCCAAAAAACTAGATCTGATGCAGTCAGCGGTAATGGACATTGCCCGTCACCTGTCTTCAATCTGTGAAACGAGTGCATTGGAGCCTCATTGTCTGTGCTCTCTGGCTCCATGAGCCAAGAGTCACGACGCACAGTTGTCTCAAATTACAATATGAGTTATTTCTCGATATGTCGTCTTGTCGGACCATCCAATGAGGCTTCCTTCTTTGTGCACATGTCAGATTATTCACGTCGAGGAATGGGCGTAAGCACCCAAACACTCCGAGTTCTGACAAAATGACGGGCATCATCGGTCCTCCAAAGATCTTCCAAATGTGGTAGATCCATCACCTCCTGCAAGATGTGAAATGTAAATTGTTTATAAACGACAATCGGAAAGTTGGTGCGACAGAACGACGTACCTGCAAAGTCACCTGGCACATTCGCCGTTGAACGTGTACAAACCGCTCTGCCCTCGACAACTCACGACAAGAAACCCAAAACAAATTGCCCATGCCTGGTGAAGTGCCTTTTTGGATGTAAACAAGGATTTCGTCAAATTTTGCCTGCCACAAAGAAACGACAGCAGCCCTCTTGCAACCATGGTCGCCCTAGACAACTGACACATGTTTTCAAGCAAATCCACAGCCTGGAGCTGGCACCATCTCTCAGAATTGTGGGTGATCATCCCCAAAATCTGTTCGTTGGTTGAAGTGCGCTCGGCCATTTCTTTCTTCACTGCCTTATCCTCAGTTTTGCATCGTTTCAGCACAAGCCGCGGTCATTCAATATCTGGGGCCACCGCCAAAGCATTGATACGATTGACCACAGAAGCCTTCAAGCATACGCTCACGGAAAAAAAAGGTCTGGTCAGCGGTCACCTGCCGCTCGAACTTGAGAGGAGGCAGGTGGCCAAAAGGGTTGCAGGCAGGGAAGGGCAGGGCAAGAAAGAGAGAGAGAGAGAGTGTGAGTTCACATGCAAAGCAATCAGAAGTGCAAGCCGACCAAAAAGAAATGCGGCGTTTCTTGCTGCGGCTGCAAAGTTGCTCTGCTTGAAAGCTTCAAGCCTTTAAAACGTTTGGTCCTTTTTCCTTGGAGCAAAGCAAAGTCAAAGCAGCACACCCTAGATGCATGTTCTCCAAAAAGGGCTACCATCATACTGGAGAACTATGGTTTGGCTGGTGTAGCTAGCATTGTAGGGCACAACATCTCGGTGAAACTTTTGTTTATCCTGGTTGAGTTGAGCGTAGCGCTCAAGCGTTCATAATGTATATGCACACCCACACCGAATGACACTAATAACTACCCTCCATCTGTCTATCTCTTGCCCGGCTTCCCCACAATCCTCCCAACATACATCTTGATCTCTTGCAGTGTATTCGTGGGCCCCGCGGCCAAGAGAAATGGCCCCCTTTGCCCAAACATGGAATCAACTAGTCAAAGGATCTTTTGCTGGAACAAAACTTGCTGGATAATGCACTAACAGAAAACCATTATGACAATCTAATGGAAAGTCTAGAAGATGTTGAAAGAAGGAACATAGAAAAGACAGAGAAAGTGATAGGACTCAAAAGAAACACTGAACAAAGGCTGCGGAAAAGGAAACGGTGGAAGAAAAAAAACAATTGGGTCAAAACAGGCTCGACAGAAACATCCGAAGACAAATAAATAGGAAACTGGATTCTGGCATTCTCCCGATAACTGGATTCTGTCCATCTTTTGAAAAATTGGAAAACCTGCGATTCCCAAAGACCCCCAAAAAGAAGTTACCCCCAGTCCCAAATCCCAGTGGTTTTGCACGGATCTAAACGTTCGACCTACTCTCTGCACTGTATCTGAGCCTATTTTTTTGTCTGCTATTTCCTTGTCTGTCTCTTCCTTCAGCCTACTGTTTGACAAGAAAACTCTATGTTCATAAATTTACAGTACGATCTTATTAAGGTCCAGTGAATTGCACCTGCTGCCTTCATAAACATAAAACCAATGGCCATGGGTGGATGGGTTTTCACTGAAATTTCCCATTGTTTCAGAAAAGTGACAAGTGCAATGTATGTTCACAAGAGCTCGTCAGTTCGTGAACAACCTAGTGTTTGGGTCCCCTTGAGGCCTGACCGCCTCCGGATAGGAATAGGGGCGTGCAACCCCTGTTTGTCAACTCGAACAAACAATTGCCAAAGTTCTGTGGAAGCACCTGACACGTTTGCCCACAAAAGTAACGTCTCAAAACTGCAGAGCTGAGATGGCCCGCTTCCAGAGTATAACCCAGTCACACGTGACAACTTGGCAAAGCCGCGTGGCAATAGCGCTGCAGAAATCACTTTGAAGTTGCCCAGCACACACAGTGTAGGCTCATCACTCAAGGTGTGCACATGCCAACAGGAAACTACATTAAAGACCAAATGCGGCACCTCTTTGCAGCAAACCGCTGAAGGCCAAGCCAAGTGCAGATGGGACAAAGCCCACTCAACGCTACAAAGTCGCAATCTGCCCATGCTTCTGACTGTCAGAACTGCGTCAGAATTGCATTTTAGTGCGCGAGAGCAAAACGACTGCTGTTGTGTATATATATATATATATTCTCGTTGGTGTAGTCGAACGGCACACGAAGTCCGCACACGAGTTTCGCTCGTTTCCGCTCTCGCGAACAAGTAGGGGCGTCGCCCGGTTTGCTCAAGGGCCCTAAACATACGGGAAAAACATGTACAAGTGTCTTGCGACAGTCAGACATCTAGACAGGCGGAGAATGATGCGTTCCACTTCCTGTAATGAAAAACATTCAATCTTCTACCGTAGCCTTCGATCTCCAATCATCATTTTCTTCTCTCACTAGTGCTCTTGGCCCTTGCTTTCACAGTCGGTCTTCATAGCAACTCACGAACCTCCAGGCTCCCTCATGCATGGTAGTTACCATCTCATTGGTGCGGTGGCTATGGCTTGATCGTGTCTGTTGTTGCCGATCACACCTTTGCCCTTCCAAGAACCGCAGGCGCTCTGCCTGATGAGGATCACCATGTTCATTTCCTCCTTCTCTCTCTCGAAGCTCCCGAATCACCTTCTCCTTTTCACGAGCATCCAAATGCAGCTCCATCAGGAAATTGAAGTGTGAATTGAGGAACCTGTGCCATTGCCTTATCTCCTTGTCCGATGTGGTCGCACAGCTGACCTGTAGGGTGAGCTTGAGGTATTCTTCGCGTCGGACCGCTGGAAGAACGTGCTGGAGGATGTGTCCTCTCATCTGGGCGGTCACTGCCGGAGTCCACAGGACTTCATTCGTCCATCTCCACTTCGCCTGACCAGGCTCCATCCTCACTTCCTCATAGAGGCTCATCCATCGGTCGGAGACAGCATGATCCAGCCTCAGTCCATCATCTCTCTCTTCCACCACGTCCATAGGCCTTAGGTCGCCATGGCTCGTTTCTACCGGTCGCGGGTTGTCATTCACAAGAATGCCCTCATTCGCAAACAAAAAGTAGAAACTCTTCAGGCGCTGGATGAGCAAATGCATCACGTCCCTCAACATCCACGATGAACAAAACACTCCCAGCACAGCAAACAGGAAAATAACCAGGGCCGTGTTGGTCAATGGCCTCCCTTCGTCGTTCTCCTCCTCTTTGGCCTCAGCTGCTGTGATCTCAGATGCGAGGAGGGCCACGGCACACTTCGCAGCTTTCTGCCACTCATCACCGCCGTGTCCTTGGCGAAATCGATGAAGGTAAAAGTGCCTCCTGCTGTAGTACCTGTTGCCGTCTCGTGCGTTGTCCTTGTGTTTGTTGCATCCTGGTAATGCACACATGCCTGAATCTCCGTGGCCATCACCTTTCTCCACGAAGAACACCTGCCCATCGAAAAGCTCCTCGGCGGCCTTCTCGTACTCCTGGTTTTCCTGCTCCCGAGACTCATGGCTCACCTTCTCTTCAGCAATGAAGTTTGGGTCATACTTCAAAGCATGAACTCCTCGGGCAAGAGTGTGGGCCAATGCGTCCTTCGCTGATGGCTTTGTGAGTCCGTCGGCTAGTTGCTGCAGGGAATTAACCCATCGAAATTGGCCCAGCGCTGCTCGATGGCTGTGCGCCTTTCCGATAACTTCAGACCAGGCGTCACTGATCCTGCACTGTCATACAGCGCCTTCGCATCGGTGATGACCGGCGACTCCTTGAACATGTGCATCGTCTCATCGAGCTGGATGGCCACATAGGGGTTCACGGTCGTGGCAAAGAACACTTTTGCCCACTCCAGCTCGTCCACTGCAATGGTTGCAGCTTGGGCCTCAGCAGAAAGCGAGCTGCGGCACATCCGTACAAGCTTTTTGCTTGCCCAGTCAACCACCGTCAGAGGGAACGGCGCTTCACCTGCAATCTCGGATCGTGAAGACATAGTCCTTCACCACTTCTTTCATGAACCTCAAAAATTTGTTCGCCTCCAACATGTCCTTCACTGTCGGGCGATTGATGTTCGCCTGGAGGATGCTAATGGTAGCTGCTTGTGGCAAACACTGCGTCACCGGCCATGACATAGCGCCCACCAGTGCTCGAAGAAGCCGATGCTCTTTCTCATTGCAGTAGTCATCTACCATAGTCTTTCGGCTCTTCTCCAAACTCAAAGGTTTGATCTTGTGGACGTACTCCTTGAGGGAAACGGTCAAGATCT